CCTAGCAGAAAATCTTAATGACCTTGGCCTTGGCAAAGATTTCTTAGATACAACTCATAAAACATAAACTACAAAAGAAAGAAAACCCAATAATTCGATTTCATAATGATCTATGATCTGTGCACTTTCCCATATACACTTTCAATAAACATATTACTAAAAATTAAATGAAAACAGAAGCAACCGCAATGACTGAATGGAGGGAGACCACACAGTCAGCCACTGTCATCTCTTCTCACCACTCAGGGAAAGTCTGTCCCAAGTGCATTTGCCCCGCAAACTCAGAGTATGGCTGAGGTGACGATGAGAAAGGGAGAGACAGTCACCACTAACTACCCCACCCCACCTTGGGAGCTGGAATGGGTAGACAGAAATTACAATGAAGAGGGAATTTTGTTTTCTCTTTTTTCTTTCTTTTTTTTTTTTTTTTTTTAAGTAATCTCTACACCAAACGTGGGGCCCAAACTTACAACCCCTGAGATCAAGAGTCGGACGCTCTAGCGACTGAGCCAGCTAGGCACCCCAGAAGAGGGATTTTTTGGTAAAATCTGGCTATCCTTCCATGACTGCTCTTAGTTCACCACAGAGACATGGAGGAAAATACATTTGACACAAGAGCAAATAAAAGACACCTTGGTCCTGGACCCTTTCCCCCGAATACCCTTCACTTATCTCTCCCATCCTGATTTTTAAATATTCCCCCCCTCCCTTCCCCTTATTCTTCCAGGCTTCCCTTTTTGCTTTCTGCAACCACGCATCATTATCATATGCCCTTTTTCTTTCACTTATGAGGCTCCAAAATAAGAAAAGGAATTAAAATACACACACAAAAATAGCACAGGTTCTCTGTGTGTTTCAAATGCCCTTCTTATGCTGGGGTAGGGACAACAATCTCTATGACTTCTCACAATCCTGTTTATACAGCATCGGCAGAAAATAGTCCACAGCGCCAATGTTTTTATACTTTCTCCCTCTTCCCTTCTCTCTTCTCCTGAAGAAGGTAGTTACCAATTTATAAATTCAATTAAGTCCTAGCTCTGTGGGATACTATAACCTCAGCTAGCCCTTATCTGCTACAGTATAAAGAGCCCTTTTAACCCCCCAAAATGTCAAACACCTAACACACACACACACACACACACGAAATGATCCTTTTGGTATCTGGGAAAATGCAAACTTCTGACAGACTGTGAACTTTATTAATTAAAACAACATTTACATTTCACAAGAGCAGATGGGAGCAAAGCTTTGTGTGAATGCAGGTTCCGGGCTCTGTGGGACCTGCCAGGCACAGACTCCTCAAACTCCCCACCCTCCCAGGAGTCCTCATGTAAAGACTGGGAATCCTCACTCTGAGCACCTTGGGCTCAATCCTTCTTTACTGATTAAGAACGGTCCGATTTTGTTCATGAGTTCACTGAAGAACTAGCAATACAGCTGGACAAAAATTTTAATGGAGCAAAGTTTCTTCTGCTCACTGAGGTCCTTCAGGGGATGATGCATCAGAGGCCTCCGCACAGCGTGCGCATGTGTACGCCCTCTCTCCCGCCCTCCCTCTCCATCCCTCTCCATCCCTCTCCTCCCTCCTCACTTAGAACTTGTATTTGGAACTGTTTAATAAATGATTACCACCTTTTTGCTAGCTATTATCATGATTACTACTCCTTTTCCTCCTCTTCCCTACCCACTCCATCCCATAAATTTCCAAATTCCATTAGTGTTATGGCTAAGAAAAGTCAAGAAGAAACAAAACCTTGAAAACCTAGTTTTTATATCAAACAAACGTTTGCAGCTTTCTTTTTTTCATTAAATGGGGATAGGTGAGGAGGTAACCTTCGAATGGTCCTCTCACTACCATATTTAAGATGAATACATTCACTCATTCAACAGGCAGCAATTAAAAAGCAGATACCGGTAGTTACGATTTGCTTCTAAAATCTGCAGAAGGGGCCCCCTTGCAACCGACAGATGTTCCTCTTAACTGGCAACGACATCCATCAGGTATCACGTGGTTTGTTGTTGTTTAATTCATTCAATAATGTTCTCTGTCCTTAATTTAAAAAACCAAGTTAACATTTTCCCCTTTCTCCAAAGCTTAAAACCAAAAAACAATTATAACTTTGTCACCCCAATGGATTTCATCCTATGAGTCAGCCATTCTGAACAGGACTCCTAGCATCCCCTACAAAATAACATTCAATGGACCCCCACTACTTTGTTAAAGGTAAAAATATAATCTTAAATGTCAAGGTTTTACTGAGATCTGTGTTAAGAAAATATATTTTCTTATTTAGGCTCCAAAATAACCTTCAAAATTCCATATATTGCTTCAAATCAGATTTATTCCTTAATGAAGGATCCTAAGTCCACAAAAGTAAATTAGGTTTGTTTTTTTGTTTTGTTTCTCCCATTTTATAAAACTGTCTGAACAAGAATTGATTCAACCAACACTAGATGTCACACAGGACTAGCAATTCCTATGAAGCAGGTTAAAAATATGAGATGGAAGAACTATTAGGACATCACTGTTTGTATTTATTATATTTTATACTTAGAAATGTTGCTTCTCCACTGGATGGCCTGAAATATCAAAAGATCATTGTATGCTGCAGTGAACAAAATCAATTGTGGAAAATGGTAAGTTTTGGTTTCTTGCAAACAAGTAGCTTCTCCCTTCTTTTAAAGAAGACAGGCTTTCTTCATCATTTTTACTAAAAAAAAAAGGAATACTGACCAGATGTAAATTCGAAATAGCTTTAAGACTTAAGGTCATGACTCAAACACTCAAACAGCTAAATTTAAACAAACAAACAAACAAACAACTAAGACTTTCAAAAACTGAAGTAACTGGAGGACGAGGAACTGGAGGATGTGATGTAATGTTACCTGATGTTACAAGCTATTTACATTCATGGGCACAATATAGCATTACTAGGCCATGAATTTTTTTTTTAACTTCATATTCTTGTTTCTCAAATTTTTTCAGACACATTAAAAAAGACAAAAGATTTGGCTACTCATTATTGTATGCCTTTTGAAAAGAAGAGAAAAAAGGCATAAGTTCTATTTTTTAATATATATATACATTAATGAAGCAACTTCCTTGCAAAGTGTTGGCTGACCCATAAACTACATTTATCACCCATGAAGTCAGCATATCACAAGGGTCATATATGTCTAAGCACCCCCAAAAGCATAACAAACAAGCTCTGGTAAAACTGTGTATAAAGCTGTCACAAGCCTAGTGGCTGCTTTCTAAACTTTGAAACCATGACCACATGCAACCTCCCTTTCCATCAAATTTAACTACAAGAGCATAGGTAAAAAGACTTTTAAAATAGTAAATAACAATAATAATAAATAAATGTAATTACCAAAATATTTTAGCACCTTTCCTTAGAAGAATGTATTTTAACCATAGAAACCTCACACATTCCTAACATGTTTCTCGCTAAGATTCATCCATTCTGTCCAACCTTCAATTGATCAATGCAGAATTCATGCTACTCAGAAGAGCTGACATAATTATTGCCGCCATCCCACTGAGAATGCTCTTCCTGGTAACAAACTCCAACATTACAGTTGGCATCCGGACCGCTCACTATTTACACCGCTACCCTCTCCCCTTCCCATCACCACCATTTTACTGGCAGAACACTCACAAGGCTCAGGATTGTTTTTCATCTCAGCAAACAAGAGTGTTCAAAATCGGATGGCTAGCCACAAACCAGGAGTTAGAAACTACATAAAAATAAACACAAATGTGAATACATTTTTCTATTTTCAGTTTCTGAAGAAAGCAGTTAATGTCTTATTTGTAATGTTCTAAATTACAGCCAGGAGCCTTTTTCCTAATTACACTAATAAATCGATTTAATGTCATCATTGTGCCATCGGCTCACGTCTTCCACACACTAGTGTACTTGAATTAAACCCATTTTACCATGGTAGCTTCTTCGCCTCATTTTTCCCCAGTGCTTTTCCTCGATCATCCTCAACTACTAAATCATGCCTCCATAATATTTTCCTAAATATTAAATCTGTGAACAAAAAAGATAACCTGAAAACTAACCACCGGAGAGACAAATCAACACACCTTCAATACAAAATATCAACATGAAGTATAAACTATTAGGTAACCAAGAGAAAGGTAAGCATCAGCTGTATGCCCAGGAACCTCAATTTAAAACACTATGTAGTATGCACAATTTTGGCAAACAGAGGTGAACACAATATTTACATATCAAAATGGGCAACTATACAGCCTCATTTCTGGCTGGAGATAAAAATATCTTAATTCCATTTATTAAGTAAAATAGCCATTTTAAGGAAATACCTCCTTTTACAGGTATAAGCATTTGACTGACAGATAAAATAATTGCTTTAAAAACACTTCTGAGTCATTTTGTCCTTACCTGCAGGCACGAACCATTACTGCATGCAGTGACTGTTCCATTTCCTAGCACAGACTTGAGGGAGCATCATATCTCTTTCAGAATGTGACTAATCTGTGGGTTTGCAATTCCTAAGCTATTTACAAATGGCACTCCCTTTCCACATAAGAAAATATTTATGACAACCAAAAGCCAAGTATTTTTAACCTACATGGTACAAATCATGTTGGTAATTTTGTAGCAACAACCTCAAAATACAGGAAGAAAATCTAATACTATTATTTCCTTAAAGAAAGCAAGATTTTTGTTTTGCAGCGAAGTAAATTATTTTCTAAAGCCTCCAACAGCTGTCACACATGAACGAGCACTCTGCTGGGCTACGGTGTACATGCTGCAGCTGATTCAGCTTCACTATTTTTTTAAAAAATCAATTACCCTTTGTAAAAGCAGAACAGCTGGCCCAAATACACATCTTCAATACACCACAATGACCAGCATGCAGTACAATACGTTATACAGCAAACTTAACAAGGAAAAAAACACGTCCTGGTTTGTTTCTTAGCAATGCTACACCATTAATTGTTCATGCAAGAGATGTAGCTGTACCTTTCTGAAGAGGACGACTTCTCAGAGTTAACTGACATCAGCAGCTCAATCTTCTGCTTGATTTCTGGAAAAATCAGAAAATATTCACAACCAAGATTGCCTGCCCTTGCTTTCAAGCTTTATATCAACAGATTTTTCGTCTCTGATCCCTTTTGTTCAAAAAGAGGCCACAAGATTCGCAGTACTTCTGTTAGGACTGGGATTCGATGGTGCTATAAAGGGAAAAGCTCCAGAGGCACCAGGCCTTGCTAAACTATGCACATGACTGTTTATGAAAGCAGGAAGTACCATTTCTTTTAAGCAGAGGGGTGTTTTCTTTTTTAAGGTAGAACTAGCACGGCTCTGCCAGAAGATTTCAAATGCAGCAAATTAAAACACAAACAAGAAACACTCACCACTGCATTCGATACCCTAGATCATCTGAGAAGCCTGGGTAAGAAAGGTATGAGCTGTAAGGAACAGATGTGCAACCCTTGGCTCCTTGCATTTCATTGGCCCTAAAAAATATGGCTCAGTGAATCATTTTTGTCACTTAAGAATGAAATGTTAAACGAGAACCCCAATTTATACATTGGAATTTTTTTTAACCCCTGTTATAATTTCTTGCTTGTCTTTAATTGAAGAATCTGCCTAATACCTAGTCCCTAACTCCTTTAGAAAAAGACTTCTATTTTACACCTTAATTCTCCCCTCCTCCTTCGCAATACAGCACAAGTGAACAGCAACACCCAGTCACCGAGCAGATAATATACTTGTCCTTTTAGGAAAGGACTCACAATGCCATCTGCAACAGAAATGGAAGCACCAATTCAATTTAATTAAAAGAGAATTGCCGATACTGATTTGGGAAAAAAAAAAAAAAAAAAAAGATAGACAAAAAAAGGAAAGGAAAAAAAAAAAAAAAAGGGAGAGGGGAAAAGAAAAAAAAAAAAAAAAAAAAAACCCTAACACATTTCCTTTAAAAATACTAATGACTAACCTAAAAGTACGTAATTTTATGTGAGTAAAACTGACAAGGTCCCATTAGACTATTTCACATGCAAAGCTGTTTTCCTATTCGTAAATGTGATTTCTATGCATAATAAAAAGTTCACACACCAAACATAAAACACCTGGCCCCTAAAATACAACGAGAGGCAGTCACAGGAGTCCAAAGTGGACCTCAAGAGTTTGGAGGGTTTTACGGGGAGAACAAATCTTAATTTTTAAGAATATTGATTACAAAAATCAAAGGAATATGGAAAGATAGAAAAGGAAAAGGGAATAAAAATTAGTTTGTTGTTGTTGTTGTTGTTGTTGCCTAAAATACAATGGACCTGTTTAGAATATAGCCTTTCAACGTTGTTAAAATAAGGGATTTTCCAAATTGTTTAAGCTCTGGCTTCATCCAGTGGGCACTTCATAAAACTGGCACAAACAGAATCTGCCACAGGCTGTGGCCAAACTCCCTAACCACCGGGGAGAGCACACCACACGGTGGTTAAACGGAGACGACGACAATGAAACTTACCTTGAGGATTCCTGCGTGGTTAACAGAGTACCGTACGGGGTGCCACAGCAAACATTCAGTAAGCCCCCACCCCCACCCCACCTTCAGAAAATCACAGAGTTTAAGAGCTCAGGCTCAGCCACCAGCAGCCGTGGATTTGAAGGCAGGCTCCTCCAACGTTTTTAATAGCCACATGACCTTGGGGAAATTACTTAGACTTTCTAAAAGCCTCTATCTCCTCTCCTATAAAATGGGGATAATAACGGTGCTCGGAAAGGGCTGCTGTGGGGATTTAATGAAATACAGTGTTCCGTGACAGTCATGCAGATGGAGGGTCGTGCCGGACAGGGGTCAGCCCTCCCTGTCTACTGCTAGGGAGTGTCTGGCAGAGAATAGCAATCCTCAACAAATACTTGTTGAATGAGTTAATAAGGTACATACACTAGGTCTGTCCTGCCTTCAGCAGCTTTTCCACAGTTTTGATCCACCTTCTCCCTCTTGCTATCAAGCTCAATATATACTTTTTTGTCACTATAGTTTGATTACATATGGAAGTGTAACTAATCTGTATCTCAGCCTCCCCATGTAGAGAGTTACTCTGTTTCTTAACTAGCCAAGTCAGAAATGTGGTTACATTTGAATCCTTCTTCATTGTGGTGATTGCTCATTTCAAAAAGACAAAAAATTCGCACTTCGGTGTGCAGAAGATCTGTGCACATAAGCTGAAAGACCCCAAGTTTAGGGGCACCTTGGTGGCTCAGTCAGTTAAGTGTCTGACTCTTGGTTTCAACTCGGGTTGAGTCATGGTCTCAGGGTTGTGGGATCAAGCCCAGTGCCAGGCTCTGTGCTCAGCGCAGAGTCCACTTGTCCCTCTTCCTCCCAGTCACGTTCTCTCTCTCTCTCTCTCTCAAATAAATAAATAAAATCTTGGGGGGGGGGGAAGACTCCCAAGTTTTGTTTTGTTTTGTTTTTAAAGATTTTTTTATTTATTTGACAGAGAGAGAGAAATCACAAGTAGGCAGAGAGGCAGGCAGAGAGAGAGAGGGGAGGAAGCAGGCTCCCTGCGGAGCAGAGAGCCCGACGCGGGGCTCGATCCCAGGACCCTGGGATCATGACCTGAGCCGAAGGCAGAGGCTTTAACCCACTGAGCCACCCAGGCGCCCCAAGACCCCCAAGTTTAAACCGCACAGCTCTTAGGGAAGTGTATAAACATTAGAAACAAAAGTTAAAGCTTTGAGAGCTCCAAACCAAAATGGTTTCCAATAATGCACGGACAGGTTTCTACCACCATTTTCACATTTTCTTTAAACCTTCAGATTTGTTTCTAGCTCCCAAAGGACTAAAACGTTTAGGAATATTCACAAATACTACGTGAATACTGTATACTCTGAAGCCGGTGTATCCTGTCTACTCTACTACCTACTCCTCCTTACCAATACCGGCCATAGTCTGATTCCTCCCCACATTCATTAACAACTCTAGAAGCCATCCCACCACAACGCCTTCCATGCGATGTTCATATTGACAGACAGGTCTTCCAAAAACCCTTGGCTAAGGACCTCAGCCTCCTGAACCCCTCACTCTTACACACACTACAAATTAGCTGGCTGTTCCTCTATTTCATTCACAGTATCTAGGATCCTATACTTTTTTTTTTTTTTTGCATTTAAGTCCACCAATATTTTCCTTAATGAATGATGGTCTTTCTGTTACATTTAGATTTTCCCCACACCAAATTTTTTAAATCACCCTGTTTCCTTCCAATACTTTATAATTTTATTTAGCCTGTAAACCTTGGACCCTCTTAGAAGGTATTTCAGCCTATGAATTCATGTAGAGATCCAGTCTGCTTTTATAGTTAATTTAAAACCTTATGTCCCCTACGCCCACAATTCTAAATTACTCTCTTCACCACCACGCCTCAGTTCTTCCAAAGCAGCAGTCTTACAACCCCGTAAATACATATTTATTCAACCAACATGGTCTCTATTTATTCATTCAGGCCAATGAGTACTAAGGCCACACGTCTTTATTTCACAAAGAAAATGAACAAGTGGTTCCTATGTAGTCTGAATAAGCATATTCAAAATTATGGTTGAGGGGCACCTGGGTAGCTCAGTGGGTTAAAGCCTCTGCCTTCGGCCTGGGTCATGATCCCAGGGTCCTGGGATGGAGCCCCGCGTCGGGCTCTCTGCTCAGCAGGGAGCCTGCTTCCCTTCCTCTCTCTCTGCCTGCCTCTTTGCCTACTTGTGATCTCTGTCTGTCAAATAAATAAATAAAATCTTAAAAAAAAAATTATGGTTGATTTTTTTTTTGTCACAATTTTGTTCTAATTTCTAAGCAACATTATGGGACAACACAAGTTTCTTGTTTTTCTAATCCTTTTGTGTTCTTATGATTCTCCTCCTAACTCTAGGTGCTTTGCCGTTATCATCTTTTTTCACACAGACCTTACATGTTAGCGATACTTCTCTTGCATGACCTCTTTTTACTCACTGACTCTTCCATCTATTCCACAACCAAAGGACACTGAGGATGACTACACCTGAATTTTGAGCCCCATATTCTCTCCTGCAACCCAGAACTGTGGGTCCTTCTAACCCTACTGGACATCTTCCCCTACATACATGGTCCTGACATGCCCTGAACACAGCATCTTTTTTTTTTTTTTAAGATTTTATTTATTTATTTGATAGAGAGATCACAAGTAGGCAGGGAGGCAGGCAGAGAGAAGGGGAAGCAAGCTCCCTGCTGAGCAAAGAACCCGATGTGGGGCTTGATCCCAGGACCCTGAGATCATGACCTGAGCCAAAGGCAGATGCTTAACCCACTGAGCCACCCAGGCGGTGCCCCTGAACACAGCATCTTAAAGCTAACCTCATCAAAGCCTCAGTCTAGGATCTCCTGTTAAAGTCTTCATCTCCCTGAACAGCAGCAGCGTTGCCCTCCTGAGCCAGAAATTTCTGAAGGATCCCAGACTAGCACCCCTGTCTCATCTGGGCTACCATTACCACCACTCACCCTTTTCAATCTATTTTATGTTCCAGCATTACTCAGCACTACTCTGTGATCCCCCAAACATACCATGCTTTCTCACACCAACTCTTTTCTGACACAGTTTCCTTCCCTGGGATCCCAGTGCCCAGTCTGCTTCTGCTGCACCCCCACCTCCCTTTTCTAATCTCAGCCCAAGTGCCACCTCCCCTCCGACAGTGCCCAGACAGCACATACTTCACCTCCTCTGCCCCTCTGCAGATCACATACACTTGCACTAGAGAATTCCTAAAATATATGCACTACTTGGCCAACACCCCTGAGACCAAAGCTTCCTTAGGGACGGGGACCTGACAGTTCACTGCAATTCACACTTACTTACTGAGTCTTTGATGGTTTTCTTAGCCAATTCTAGTCAAAGTTACAATCTAGCTAACTTGGTTTCCTTAAATATACATTTCCAGATACAATTAGCCAGAGCGTCCAACAACTGCAGACTTAGGAGGAACCTCAGAGATCATCACCTAGCTGGACCACCTGAATTTATGAAGAAGAAATCGGAGAGTTAAAAAGATAAACAA